TTTGGGAGGCCAAGGTGGGAGGATCACTGGAGGTCGGGAGTTCGTGATCAGCCTGAACAAGAGCGAGATGCCATCTCTACAAAAAGTAGAAAAATTAGCTAGGCATAGTGGCACATGCCTGCAGCCCCAGCTACTTGGGAGCCTGAGGCAGGAGGATTTCTTGAGCCCAGGAGTTTGAGGTTGTAGTGAGTGAGCTATGATCATGCCACTGCACTCTAGCTGGGGTGACAGAGCGAGACTCTGTTTCAAAATAATAAGAGCAAAGCTGAAGATATCACACTCCCTGATTTCCAATTATATTACAAAACTATACTAATCAAAATAGTATGGTGCTGGCATAAAAACAGACAGGGAGACCAGTAGAAAAGAACAGAGAGCTCAAAAACCCACACGTATAAAGTCAATAAATCTTTGACAAGAGCACCAGGGATACACAATAAGTATAGTGTAGGGGACTGACATATATTTTCCTAGTTTAAGAATTAAAGTTAGTGAGTAATGTACATGTTCTGCCCAGAATGTTTGAAAGTAATCTGTTCCGGACAAGGTCCTTGTGATAAACAAAGGTGTTGCCTAGAGGCATAACAAAGGACCTGAGCTGCAACTAGCAAGAGTAGCCCTGCCCCATGGCACTGGGGGTCTGGAGGCCACACGATAAACACCCCATAAGATGATGGCTAGTCAATGATGGGTAAGACCCCTCAAGGGAGGGGTGACCTAAGCCAGTCACAGCCGCAGGGGTTCAGTTGAAGATCTTAGGGGGTCACCCTAAGAGAAACTGGGGATGAGAAATGCCCCCTGTGGCATGGCAGGATGGCTCACCTTGCCCATCCTTGCTAATCTCACTCCTTTATCTATGCCTGGTGCCTAGAGCAACCACCTTGAAATTCTGAGTCAGGGGATATCTGTTTCCCTAAGGCTACGCTTTCCGGAATTTATGGCTATCACTGCCACACCTGGGTGGTTACTTACAAGGAACTAACTTTAATCTTTTAGAGTATAAAAATAAAATAGATCTGGTGTATTATTACTCGAGTCAACCATTTGTACGTGTGTCTGTGTTTTTCATTGTGTTCTGCGCGTTTGTGTTTTATGTTCTGTGTTCATCCTCCATCCTGTAAACGGGCCACAACAGTATAGTCTCTTCAATAAATGGTGTTGGGAAAACTGGATATCTACATGCAAAAAAAAAAAAAATATATATATATATATACACACACACACACACACACACACACACATATATATATATATATATATATACACCCCCTTATCTTATACCTTATACAAAAATTAACTTGAAATAGATTAAAGACTTAAATATAAGACCTGAAATTATAGAACTCCTAGAAGAACACATAGGGAGACACTGGTCCTAGCAATGATTTTTTGGAGATGGAAGGCAGCTATGCTCACCACTATACTACCAAGATTTTTTTGGACATGAATCCAAAAGTATAGGCAAAAAAAGCAAAAATAAACAAGTGGAACTATATCAAACTAAAAAGTTTCTGCAAAGCAAAGGAAACAATCAACAAAATGAAAAGGCAACCTACGGAACAGGAGAAAATATCTGCAAACCATATATATCATAAAGGGTTAATATCCAAAATATATAAGGAACTCATATAACTCAATAGCAAGAAAACAAATAACCTGATTTAAAAATGGGCAAAAGATTGGAAGAAATGTTTTTCCAGAGCAAACATTGAAATGACCAACAGATATATGAAAACATGCTCAATGTCACTAATCAAGAGGAAAATGCAAATCAAAACTATGGGGTACCACCTCACACCTGTTAGGATGGCCATTATCAAAAAGATGAGCAATAACAAGCCTTGTTGGCCAGGTGTGGTGGCTCACGCCTTTTACCCTAGTACTCTGGGAGGCCGAGGCAGGCGGATCGTTTGAGCTCAGGAGTTCAAGACCAGCCTGAGCAAGAGCCAGACCCCGTCTCTACTATACATAGAAATAAATTAGCTGAACAACTAAAAATGTATAGAAAAAATTAGCCGGGCATGGTGGCCCATGCCTGTAGTCCCAGCTACTTAGGAGGCTGAGGCAGGAGGATTGCTTGAGCCCAGGAGTTTGAGATTGCTATGAGCTAGGCTGATGCCATGGCACTCTCTCTAACCTGGGCAACAGAGTGAGACTCTGTCTCAAAAAACAAACAAACAAAAAGGCAAGTCTTATTGAGGGTGTGGGAAAAAAACACCCCTTGTACATTGTTGGTGGGAATGTAAATTGGCACAGCCATTATGGAAAATAATGTGGAGGTTCTTCAAAAAATTAAAAATAGAACTACCATATGATTCAGCAATCCTACTCCTGAGTATATAGCAAAAGGAAATGAAATAAGTATCTCAAAAAGATATCTGTATTCCCATGTTCATTGCGGCATTATTCATAATAGCCAAGAGGTGAAAACAAACAATGTCCATCAGTGGACGAATTGATAAAGAAAATGTGGTACATATATACAATGGAATATTATTCAGCTATAAAAAGGATGAAAATCCTGCCATTTGTGACAACATAGATAAACTTGGAGGACATTATGCTAAGTGAAATAAGCCAGATACAGAAAAACTAATAGTCTCACTTATATGTGGAATCTAAAATAGTTGAACTCATAGAAGCAGAGAATAGAATGGTGATTGCCAGGGGCTGGGGGCTTGGGGAAAATGGAGACATACTGTTAGGTCTGAGTGGAAGACAAACAGGTGGCAAGACAGGTAGAGGAAGTGGCTAAAGGTGGAAGGTGGGAACCAATCAGAATGCAGAAAAGAAACCACAATATCAGATTATTTGTGACTAGAGTCTTTTCCTCCGATGGAGGGAGCATACTCAGAGAGGAGCTCCTAGTGACCCTAATTGAGCTGGGGCTAATTACCATCTAATTAGCATTATGGTTATGACCCCCCCCCCCTAGGTTTTTTTGAGGATTCTGGGAAGACGCATGCATAGAAACTGTTACATAACCCCAACCTGTCAGTCACCCAAACGCGGGAAATGACAACCAATCCCACCCGGGAAAGAGGCAGGACAAACTAGTGAGCATATAAAAGATAGTGTGTGTTAAGACTTCAGGGTCTTCACTGGTGGAGAATAACCAGTCTCTCGCCCTGAGATGTACTTTCGCTTTGCAATAAATGCTTCCCGTGTGGGATTGCTTTGTATTTGTGATCACACCATCATTGGCTCCACTCAGTACTAGTAGTACTCATTCCTGGCACAGGGAATCGAGAATAAAAGGGAACATCTAGGCAGACCTAACAAGATTCACTGCATGTTTATCAGCACTTAAAAAGTTTCTTTTGCTAGTTTGATATATGAAAAATAGAATATTGTGATTTTGCATTTCTTTGACTATTAGTGAGATTGGACATTAAAGAAAATAATTACTTGTGTTTTATATTTCTTTGGGTACTTAAATATTCATGTCCTTTTATTCTTTCTGGTTAGTAAGAAATCTTTTTCTTTTTTTTTTTTCTTTCAAAACCAAATGTGAACAAATAGTAAGAAATCTTGATATGTTAAGCACATTAAACCTTTGTCTGACATATATTATAGATATTTTTTCCCAGGTTGGCATCATGTTTTCTTGACATGTAAAATTTTTGAATTTTTATATACTCAAGTCAATCTCTTCCTTTGTAAGTTCTTCCAGTTCTTTTATATTAGAAGGTTCTTCTCTATATTTAGATCAACTAGTCACTTGTATTTTTTTACTATTTTTTTTGTTGTTGCAGTAAACAAAGTGACAGTCTTTTCATATAGTTAGTTAATCATGTCTTCTTCACTATTAATTGGTTTCTTTTCCCTACTAATTTATATCACCATTATTATCTAAAGAATTCTATATTACTTGGATATGATTATGAGCTTTGCATTATCTTTCATTGTCTGTTGGTTTTGGTGTTAGTATTCCATTTTTTTTATTACTAACATTTATTCAGTCATCAAGAACCATCACATTCTCCTCCAGGAAGACTCTCTGGTTCTTCCAAAAAAAATATGATTGCCCCACCTTCCCACCTCCTGTTTTTCACTTTTATCATGTATACAAATCTGCCTTGTATCACAGTTAACAGGGTTGATCTTATCCAATTATATTCTTGAGAACAGGGAACAGGTGTATAATACATATTCATTAAAATTAGGTCAGTGGGATTTGCGTTAAAAGGTACTAACGGCAGAACAGCTCTAGTTGAGATACAAAGGAAAATAAGTGATTTTCTCATTTGTTCAACAAACATCGCCACACTATCCAATACGAAAAGATTATAACGGTAAGTGAACCCTAGTCTTTGCCCTAGGGGAAAAGACACATGCAAACATACGTGATTAAATACAGCCTAAGTAGCATAAAATAAGCACATACACGGTAGGAGAAAGGAAAAAACTAGAGTAGTGGGGTAGTGTTTCAAAGTAGTGGACATACATGAGCTGGGTTCATGGTGTTTCTTAAATGTCAAAGGAACACGTAATTAATCTGAATGACAAAGTGCACCTATTCACATTAATTTATCTTCATTCTGAGATCTTTTAAAGGAAGCTTAGTGTAGTGTGGGTAGGATGGGCAAGCTGAAGAGACTGGTTCAGGGTTCTGCTTGACAGCTGTTCGGTATGAGATACCGCTAAAAGTTAACCAATGGTGTGTGGCAGAATGAAAATTAGGCAATGGAGATCAGAGATAAACCTTTACCTGTCAGGCTTCTGATCTATAAATCACTAACTTAAGTTGGTTTAAAAGCTATAAGGCAATATATTAACGTAAACGTTTGGACCCCCTTAATATTCTGAGGGAAAAAAAAAAGACACACTAGGACCTTGTTGTGAGAGAGCGCACAATTCCACTCCCTATCCTCATCTTCCAGCGGGGAACCTCAGGCCCAGGCGAGCCCAGACCAGGTGTCATCGCAAGAACTGACGTCACGCACATGTGACGCCATCAGCGCTGACGGAGTCTCACGGGGAGGGGCCTCTCAGCTCACCTCAGAACGCAGTCAGCTCCACGGAGCAGCGAATTGGCCGCCTCCCGTTCTACCCTGCGGGTCCCAACAGTCAGAGCTGCAGGAGCCCACGCGCCCGAGGAACTCCAGAGCTGTTCCTTTCCTCCCCCATGACCCCAACCCGCGTCTTCTCTGAGGCCCCAGCGCGGTCCCGGCTGCGGCGCGCTCACGAGCCCGCCGCTTGAGGCGGTCACGCACACGCACGCTAGTGCGCACGCTCGCTCCCTCAGAACCCGGAAGTGCGAAGTCGAGGGGAGCCACGTGGGTCGAGCTGGAGCTCAGCTCGCATGGGGGAGTCTATCCCGCTGGCCGCCCCGGTGCCGGTGGAACAGGCGGTGCTGGAGACGTTCTTCTCTCATCTAGGGATCTTCTCTTACGACAAGGCCAAGGACAATGTGGAGAAGGAACGAGAAGCCAACAAGAGCGCCGGGGGCAGCTGGCTGTCGCTGCTGGCGGCCTTGGCGCACCTGGCCGCGGCCGAGAAGGTCTATCACAGCCTCACCTACCTGGGGCAGAAACTAGGTACCTTCGCCCCGCCCCCCGAGCCCTTTGAGGAGGAAGGAAAGGGGGTATATTCCCCGGTCGGCAGTGGCTTGGGTTTCCTGTCTCTGTGTCACTTCTAGCCACAGGCTTGACTCGGCATCCGCAGGTCTCCTCCCACCGTTCCTTTCCTTCCCTGGGCGTCCACAAGCCCCGCCCACCGGCCTGCGCTGCTGTTAGATTGGCCGACTGGTTAGATGCTCTTTGCAGGGCTGTGCCCCAAACCGAAGGGTTTAATATTTTGCTTCGTGCATGGATTGGTGCCATAAGTGAGAAGTTAACCAAACTCTGTGTCTTCGTTCTTCTAACTAGTGACGCTGCTGCCAGAGGAGCAAAACTTGGCAATACAACCTAGTCTATTAAGGAACGTTATGGTCTGGCCTCTTAAGGTTAAGGCCCCTGAGAGTTACCTGTGGAGTCCCACCCCCTCTTCGTAGTGCCTCAATACATATTTAATGAATGAAGGAATAAATGAACTGGACAGGAAAAGCAAGAAATGTGCCTAACACTAGCAGAAGGAAACTTAAAGGGAAAATAGTAAACACTCCTAGCACCTCCATGTAGATCTTGCCCCTCAGAATAAGCTGCAAGAGCTAATTCAACCGATTTTCACTAGTAGAAACAATGAGTAGATGAGAAGGAAATAATAGACGTAAAAACCAAGGGCTATGTATACAAAATACTACTACTTAATAATGACAAATAATAAATATGGTCGAATCCTAGAGCTTTTAGAATCCTTTTAGTACTTTGGCCTATTTTAGACCCTTTAATGATCAGAGGCACGGGGTCTGGTGTGAATGAAGGGCATATATATATATATATATATACATATATATATATAAAATAGAGAATAAAAACGTAAAATTGAATGTAGATTTCATTTTGATTCTCCCCTCCCTTTCCTTATATTTACTGAGCTTTCAGTAGGCATTCAAGGGGCAGGGCTTTCTGGCATTCCTAACTTCTGCCATAGCTATTCAAATAATAGCTTGTTATTTCGTATGTTGATTTATTGGCAAAAACTGATCAGATAGTTCCACCTTGTGTATTTTTCCCTCCCCCTTTTACAGGGTCCTTCTCACAAATTTGCAATTGCTGTAATGGTATTATTATTCCCCTTTGTACAGATTAGTAATTGTATATGCAGTTGTGTGAGTAGGTAATAGAACCCAAACCAGAATACCTACTTTTGAACTGTCAGATTGAGACTGTATCCAAATAATTTATTAGAAATGTGAGTAATAATACATATAATGTTATATGTTCACATGTTATAAATATACGTGTTTATATATATATGAAAATGAGGATTCTAGCTGTAATATTGAAGGTGGGTAATATTCTGGCAATATTAATATTTAGACTCCTCCACCTCAAAGAATGATGATTGATGCAAGTGCCATGATTCTTAGCTTTCTTTCCTTTTTTTTTTTTTGCTCTTTCATGAGAATTAGATGAAAGCTGTGGACTTACTCCCCAGAAAAATATGTGTACATACAATTTTACATATAATCTGAGAAGGTTCAGTTCTGTTTTCTAAAGTCTATTTATTGACTCTTTTAAAAATATGCTATTCTAGTTTTAAATTGTATGAGCTAGGTTTTCATGTAAACAAAACTGGTTCCCTTGTGTAAGAACGTGTATTTAAGATCTTCGCTATCTCTAACTTGGGTTTTGTGAAGTGGTCCTTATTGTGAAAAGTGATTAGTTCTGCTTAAACCCCAGCTGGTGTAGGTGAGCCAGAGGGCTATGTCTTGAAATTGGTCCACACATTTGATGCTGTGAAACTTGCTATTAGGTTCCCAGGTGATCTCATTTCTGTGCAAACATTCTGAAAATGGCATATTTAACTTTAATGCCTCATAACTTATTTACACATACAGTAAACTTAAGTCCAGAATTTACATTTTATCTTTGCAAATATTTTAGTTTTTTTGTACTGAGCGTATATGATACCAGTGTGCTACAATATGACTTCACAATTATCAGTTTGATTGTCTATTTTCTTAAAAACTTAGAAAAAGAACGTTTGTGTTGCTGTTCAAAACATTCACATATTCTCCAACTACTTTGCTAATTAGTACATTTATATGGTTTTCTTTAAAAAGCAAAACAAGTTTATGCATGCTTTTACAAAATTCAAAACATGGTTCCAAAAAGTCTTTTTTTCAGCTTTCTTAAGGTATAATTGACAAATAAAAATTGTATATATTTATGGTGTATAACTTGATGTTTTGTATGCATATACATTGTTAAATGAACACCACAATCAAGCTGATTAATATATCCATCACCTCATATAGTTACCATTTTTCCTTCCTTCCTTTCTTGCTCCCTTTCATTCCTTTTTTTTGTGGTAAGAACACTTAAGATCTACCCTCTTTGCAAATTTCAAGTAAAAAACTTAATCTTTTTGACCTCAAACTGAGTCTTTTTGACCTTAATCTTGTGGCTGGTGTTTATCTGAGGCCTTTTGCAGTGAATCTTGATTATAGATGCAAGTGGGGCCTTTAGACAAAGGACAGACCTGGCAGGGAGCATTCTGTTCCTATCTTGGCCCAGTTACTGAAAAACTTTAAGTGGGGCCCTCCTCTTGGAGTGTTCCCTTTCCTTTGAAGGGAGAATAATACCTGTTTGGGAAAGGATCTGTGATTTAAATATGCTGGCTCTGCCTATGGAGGATTTTAGAACATCATACTTTTCTCCCCTTTATTGTTTCATTACTGGAGAGTTTCTTTAACCTCTGGTTGCTAAAATTTAGCACAGTAGAAAATGACTTAACTTGAGAACTGATGTTTAAAGCTTATCATTAGCAAGAAGTCAAGTAAAATGCCCAAGATGTTTTACATGCTCCTTTGCCATAATTAAAATTTCATAAATGAGGTAAACTGTTGAAATCTTGAGAAATAATGAATATTTATAACTAGGGCCTTCCAGAAATAATTTAAAATAATCATATTTTATAAATTCAGAATATTGAAAAGAGAATTTGGATGCATCTGATACCTTGTTTCCCAGCGTGGAGGAAGGCCAGTCCCCATTGGATTTTCCAAACCAGGACAGTCAACAGATAGGATTATGTTCCTGAGAGCTTTGAGAAAAGAGAACTGTTTAAAAGAAATGTGGTGGTCTCTCTTATAGTAGTTTCATTTTACTTGGTTTCACATACCGGTTGGTGTTTATTGATAAGCTTTTAAAGGTATTCTTTGTATTTATGTTGTACTTCCATTCCCCCAGATAAGGGTAATCTGATGAAGGTAGGTGTCCACTTTTTTTCCCCCAGAAGTCCTAGAGACAGATAGTATCCCTTTTTCAATGCAAAGTTAAAATTTTCATCAAGACCACCTGTTTATCATTGTGAGTACATGGTTGAGGTCGTTTAGCTATCTGTTAAGTAGATAGCTGTTCTTTTTATAGTACTTAAAGATCTCAATTGGCCATAAAATTTTAGAAGCTCAATTATGTATTATTGAGATTTTTTTCCTTTTAAATGTCAGTTATAAATAGAAGAGAAAGGAATTAGCATTATTGAATATATGCTTTGTTCCAGGCACATTACATACCAAATGTTATTTCATTTTGTTTTCTTAGCAGCTCTGTTACTAGTTTATGTTAAAAACAACAACTGCCAAAACTCAAATTTGTTAAGTAGTTTGCACATCACACAGCTTGTAAGTTTGGGAACTGGGATTTGAAAACAAGTCATTCAGACTTCTAAAGCTTTTGGGTTTTACATGAATAGCCTTATTACCCTCCTAACCTAAGAGGTTTTGTTTTAGATGTAGGCACAGAGGCCTATTATTCCATACCCGCCCCACAACGAAATCGGCAGACCTAGACTGAACGATGGGGATGAGAGGAAGGCAGAGCCTATAGGGTGTAGTCCCACATGGGATGTTGGTGTCATGATTGGTCCACCTGTACCATATAGTTTTGATGCCATTAGTAGGAGAGAGAATGTGCAAGCTACTCAATCTGTTTAGACAGTATATTGGAGAAAACACTTTTTAAGTACCAGTAGTTTTGAGACCCACTGTTCAGATTTGCTGAGGCCTGAGCAGTTTCCAAGATGTGGAACAGTTTTATTTATTTACTTATTTATTGTTTTTAAGAGACAAGGTCTTGCTCTGTCTCCCACGCTGGAGTGCAATGGCCAATCATAGCTCATTATGACCTCAAATTCCTGGCCTCAAGCAATCCTGCCTCAGCCTCCTGAGTTGCTGGGACTACAGGCACATGCCATCACACCTGGCCATTTTAAAATTTTTTTGTAGGGGTGAGGTCTCACTATGTTGCCCATGCTGGTCTTGAGTTCCTGGCCTCCAGGAATACTCCAGCCTTGGCCTCCCAAAGTGCTAGGATTACAACTGTGAGCCACTGTGCCTGGCTGGGAACTTTGTTTTAAAACCTGGGCTAAGAGTTTCCTAAGAAGCCAGACTTCCAGTGCTAACACCTGGAAAGTCCTGAGTAAACTGGGACAAATTGGTCACTCTAATAGTAAGAGATATATGCTTCATTTCTTGAAACAAACCAAGCAATGACAAAAGTCAGTACTGTGAAATGGTTCATTTAAGAGGGTGTTTTACAAATAATTAGATAAGGCCGGGCGCGGTGGCTCATGCCTGTAATCCTAGCACTCCGGGAGGCCGAGGTGGGAGGATTGCTTGAGCTCAGGAGTTCGAGACCAACCTGAGCAAGAGCAAGGCCTTGTCTCTACTAAAAATAGAAAAAATTAGCCGGACATGGTGGCGCATGACACCATGAGACTACACCAGGTAGTCTCAGCTACCTGGAAGGCTGAGGCAGGAGGATCGCTTGAGCCTAGGAGTTTGATGTTGCTGTGAGCTAGGCTGACGCCATGGCACTCCAGCCTGGGCAAGAGAGTGAGACTCTGTCTCAAAAAAGAAAAAAAAAGAAAAATAATTTTTAAACCCTAATATAAGAACATCGATATTAGTAAAAAATTCATTAAAGCATTCTGGGCTTTTCAGTAGAAAATTTAAACTGCCACCCATCTCTGAGATTTTTATATATTTTTAGGAACCATTGTTTTAACCTGTCCTATTTTTTTTTATTCTCCTAATGTCTTGCCTCTGGCCTTTTGGTGGAGTGCAGAATTGTTTAAGAAAACATCTATGAAGCTGGCTCTGTAATTAGACATATAGTTGATCATGTGTAAATACAGAAGTAAGTAAATGATGTTATGCTATTTGATCTTGACTGTGTAAAGTATGTTTTTGGTCTTAATTTTTGCTGATTTCCTTTAGAACCCCTAAATTCTAGCAGCAGTTGTTTATTACTGGTTCCTGGTTTTAATAATTCACAAGGGGGTGCTTATTATATTATAACCTATAGTGTTAGCCTTCTCAAGATTTTCTTTTTTCCCCTAGGATCCTGGTAGTCTGTTTTCTTATATATGTGTGTATATGCCATTTTCTAGTATGGCTCAAATGATAAAATCTAAAGGAAGATGTAACTCTAAAGCAGAAACAAAAAATTCTGATTTACTAGGAATAACAAAAATATTTCATAATTTGGGTGTTCTGTTTTGTTTTAAATATATTTATATGAAAGGAAGGCTTTTTAGATGCAGTTGAAGTCATTTGCTAGGTTAATTATGTTCTGAAGTAAATCTGGGTCCTCTTTGACATGGGGTGGGGGGGAGTTGGTGCATGGGTGAGCAAATTGTACACAGGTCTGTTGCTACACTAGTGAATTATACCAGGTATTTGTTTAACTTAGTCCGCAATGAAATTAGAATCATAAAGTATTATATCCCAATCATAGGAGTCAGAATATGATAGACGGAAACTCACTGAGTTCGATGGGTTTGGATTCTTTCCTTTGGGAGGCTAGGAGGTGTTTGGTACTTCTGGCTTCTCTTTCTGACTTGTCATGTGCTTATGTCATTTGCCTGGCAGGGGGCCAGTCTTTCTTCAGCAGGAAGGATTCCATCCGCACCATCTATACTTCCCTGCATAATGAGCTGAAGAAGGTGGTGACTGGCCGGAGTGCCCTGGGTGGGACTGCTCCCCACGTGGAAGAACTCCTTTCCCATCTGTCAGAGCAGCTCTGCTTCTTTGTTCAGGCTCGGATGGAGATCGCAGACTTCTATGAGAAGATGTACACCCTCAGCACGCAGAAGTTCATCAATGCTGAAGAGCTCGTTGGCCTTTTGGACACTATCCTCAAGAAATACAGCTCCAGGTCAGTGTAGGGGGGAAGAAGGAGGGAGAGTAAGAAGGGGGCAACCCTCCCAATCCCACACAAGCTCAGAGTTCTTTTCTACACTGTTATGAAAATTGATGATGCACTAACTGTGAAGGAAAAATAGCTGTATTATGTTTTATACGTAGTAATTAATCATTGGGTACATATTGGGCGCATTCTTTGGACATAGTTAATACCCTGCTGGATGGATACTTCTCTTAGTAATAGTGAAAGACTAAGGATGAAGTAATCCTTAAAAGTAGTATTATAACTATTTTTTTTTTTTTTTTTTTTTTGAGACAGGGCCTTGCTCTGTCACCCTGGGCTGGAGAATGTTTGTTTGCCCCAGTATAGCTGATATATGTCAGCTATAAAAAATGTTGTGAATGGTATCATCTTTCAAACGATGAAATGCTTTTGTATTGAAACAATTAACAAGCATGATGAATATAATATCAATTCCTCTGGCCTTGATTTGAGTTGCAGATCCTATGTGAGTTATTGCAATGTCCAGTCTGCTTTGAGAGATGAATAGAAAGCATGATTTTGTTTTCTTCTGGAAGCTAGTTGTATTTAGAGTAGAAAGATGTTCAAAAGAGGAGAGGCTTCCTCTTTTGGTAAACTTATTACATTATTATTATTATTTCTACATTCTTATTTAGGAATCACAATCATTTGTGATGCATTTAAAATTGAATTATTAGCAAATTGAATTGTATTGATAATATGATTAATTATATATAAAAGTTTTATTGTATGCCATTTAGAAGAAGAAACATGAGTTTAGCTTGTATTAGGTCAGAGAGTATTCCTTGAATACTTTTGAGGAAAGGTAGAACTTGAGTTGTTGATAGGCTAGGTACAGTGGCAGCTACCTACACTCTTAGTACTTTTGGAGGCCAAGGCAGGAGGATTGTTTGAGGCCAACAGTTTGAGACCAGTCTGGGCAACATAGTGAGACGCTGTTTCCAGGAAAAATAAAAAAAACTAGCCAGGTGTGGTAGTGTGCGCCTACAATCCCAGGTCCTGGGAGGCTGAGGCGGGAGGCTTGCTTGAGTCCAGGACTTCAAGGTGTGCAGCGAGCTATGATCATACCACTGTACTCCAGCCTGGGCAAAAGAGAGAATTGGGGTCAGAAAATCAAGTCCCTATCTTCACATGGCTAAATCCTGCCTATTCTTTTTTTACTCTTTTTTTTCTTCCTTTTTAAAATTGTGGTTAAAAACAAAAACATGAAACTTTCCATCTCAACCTTTTTGTTTTGTTTTGAGACAGGATCTCACTCTGCCCAGGCTCGAGTGCAATGGTTGTGATCATAGCTCACTGCAATCTCAAATTCCTGGACTCAAAGGATCTTCCTGCCTTACCTTCCTGAGTAACTGGGACTACAGGCATGTGACATCATGCCCAGCTAATTTTTCTACTTTTTGTAGAGACCCTGGCTAGTCTCTAACTCCTGGGCTCAAGTGATCCTCCCACTTTGGTCTCCCAAAGTGCTAGGATTACAGATGTGAGCTACTATGCCTGGCCCATCTTAACCTTTTTTACATGTATAGTTAAGTATTAAGTATATTTTATATATACTTATTTATATGCTTATTAAGTATATAGTATCAAATGTATTCACATTCTTGTGTAGCAGATCTTTAGAATTTTTTCATCTTGTAAAACTGAAACCCTATACCCATTAAGCAACAATTCCCCCTCTCCTGGCCCCTGGAAATCACCATTCTATTTTCTGTTTCTATGACTTTGACTACTTTAGATACCACATATAGGTGGAATCATATAGTATTTGTCATTTTGTGATGGGCTTATTTCACTTACTATAATGTTCTCAATATTCATCCGCATTGTGACAGAATTGCCTTCTTTTTTAAGACTAAATAACATTCAATTTTACGTATATATCACATTTTCTTTCTTTCCTTTTTTTTTTTTTTTGAGACAGAGGCTCACTCTGTTGCCCAGGCTAGAGTGCCGGGGCATCAGCCTAGCTCACAGCAACCTCAAACTCCTGGGCTCAAGCGATCCTCCTGCCTCAGCCTCCCGAGTAGCTGAGACTACAGGCATGTGCCACCATGCCTGGCTAATTTTTTCTATATATTTTTGGTTGGCCAATTAATTTCTTTCTATTTTTAATAGAGACGGGGTCTTGCTCTTGCTCAGGCTTGTTTCGAACTCCTGCGCTCAAACAATCCTCCTGCCTCGGCCTCCCAGAGTGCTAGGATTACAGGCATGAGCCACCACACCCGGCCACACATTTTCTTTATTCATTCATTTGTTAGTGGGCATTTGGGTTGCTTCCACCTTTTAGCTGTTCCTACCTGCCTTCAAGCATGTGGTTCAATTCAAATGCCATCTCCTTTAAGGCTTCCACAATCTTTTGACCAAAAGGAATTGTTCCTTCCTCTAAACTATTATTTTAAATATATTCCTCATTATAAATGTATTAGTTTCTACTTTGTTATAAATACCTCCTACCATGGAAGGTCCAGTAGGGCAAACCTCTGGCTAATTTTTTATATCTTTAAAATATTGGTATCTGGCCAGACGTGGTGGCTCACGCCTGTAATCCTAGCACTCTGGGAGGCCGAGGCGGGTGGATTGCTCGAGGGCAGGAGTTCAAAACCAGCCTGAGCAAGAGCAAGACCCCATGGAAAGAAATTAATTGGTCAACTAATATATATAGGAGGATTGCTTGAGACCAGGAGTTTGAGGTTGCTGTGAGCTAGGCTGACGCCACAGCACTCACTCTAGCCTGGGCAACAAAGCGAGACTCTGTCTCAAAAAAATAAAATAAAATAAAATACTGGTATCTAAGAACTAATAAACTAGTTGTTTTAAATAAAAAGTTGTTACAGCTTTTTAAAAAAGTTATATATATTACATAAAATTTACCATTTTAAGTGTTTAGTTCTTTGGCATTAATACATTCACATTGTTGTGCTACAGACTTTTTTTTTTTTTGAGACAGGGTCTCACTTTGTTGTGCAGGCTAGAGTGAGTGCCGTGGCATCAGCCTAGCTCACAGCAACCTCATACTCCTGGGCTCAAGCAATCCTACTGCCTCAGCCTCCCAAGTAGTTGAGACCACAGGCATGCGCCACCATGCCCGGCTAATTTTTTCCATATATATTAGTTGGCCAATTAATTTCTTTCTATTTATAGTAGAGACGGGGTCTTGCTCTTGCTCAGACTGGTTTCGAACTCCTGACCTTGAGGAATCCGCCCGCCTCGGCCTCCTAGAGAGCTAGGATTACAGGCGGGAGCCATACTTATTTTTAATTGGGCTTCTGACTTCTCACATACATGAGACCAGCATACTGCTTTTGGAAATAACTCCATGGTGTGGATTTGTGAAGGAGAAAGGTAGTGTTTCTGAAGTGGAATTTTATGTCTCATTAGAATATTATACAAATGTGTCTGTTTTTATATTTTCGTCTATTCTGTGCAGCCTTGCTTCCTTCCTCCCTCCCTTTTCCTCCCCTCCCCTTCCCTTCCTTCTTCCTTTTCTTTCTTTCTGTAGATGTTTCCTGCAAATAGTTCTTAATATATTCTGTGTTCAGACTCTTTCAAGCTTGCTGTCATAGCTTAGGTGTATATTTTTGAATTACAACCATTTAACAGACCCTCCTGTAATACGAGTTGTGAATAGCTATGAGGCACACAGCAGAGTAGAAACAGGGAAATGATACATCATAATACTAATCTCTAAATCTTGGCAGACTAACATTAACATAAATTTTTAGCTCTTCTTGAGGATGAAAAATAGCTTCGACATTCACATTTATCTTTAATAAATGTTGAGAATTTAAACACTTTTAGTATATGTTATGGAAGAGCTTGTTTAGAATTCTTTCTGAAGGTTTGTACAGGGAATTCATGTCCTCTTAAGGAAAGCATTGGAATATATGATGATTTCCAGTGGAAAGCACTAGAAAAATAACAGTAGTGTTATTTGTCAGGGTAGAATTTTCTCCAATCTCATATGATTACCAATCTTACTGTGTGCATAGTTCCTAGGCGGATTTTCCTGATAGCCATAATTGTAGAAGACTGTGGTACTTAATGCTCATAAGTGTCAAGGAGCCTAAAGGCTAAGGTGGTAGAAGCCTTTGTTACAATTTGAAGATTTTGAGATTTCTGCTATAATGGGGTTTTGTGTGTGTTTAACTTTCTTAATGTTTATTTCCAAAACATGTAATGTTTGAAGAGTCCAAATTAATTAAGTACATGTGCTAGAAGATTTGAGATCTGATTAACTTTCTCATTTTTTGAGTTTATTATTAGACTTAACCTCACCAGTGCTTTCGCTTTCCATCTTGAAGTACATTGATATAAAATATGGGTAATAGATGAAAACAATGTGTTTACTTTCACCAGAATAACTACATTTTATTTATCACATGATCAGTTTCTGTCTTATAGTGTCCAACTTAGTATGGGCTGTCTTAATCATAATCCCTTTAATTAGTGTTTAAATAGATCCTTTTAAAGCCCCTTTTAGAAGACATACTTGTGATGATTTTTTTCCTAATTGTTTAATTAATAACCAGTAGTTTCCTCTTCTCCAGGAGACAAAACAGAGCTGTGTGAGAAATGTCTGTCTCATTAACAGTGACGTGATTAAATTAAATGGGCTCAGGGCTGTAAATCATCTGCCATAGTGCCTGAAACATAAGATATGCTTAGTAAATGCAAGTTCTTCCCTTTACCTTTAAAATGTGGTCTCTTGCTAAGATGATTCTGCAGCCTCTGCAGGTGCTTTGGATCTTTAGGAAGAGTGGTAAGGGCCTTGGATATAGGTTTCTTATGAAGGAGCATGTACCAGGCCTGGCACGTTATTAGGCATTTCTCAGAAGGGAAAGCTGAGCAAGCAAGCTCTGTGCAGTCCCTACAGAAGGGCTCTCCTTAGCCACTCTATCCTGTTGTTACAGAACTTCGTTCAGATCAGAAACAACAGAATCAATGAGGCAGAGACTAGGATTCAAATCTTAGCATAGTTGGTCACCACATTTACTGATTTTTCTACTTGTGCCGTGTATTCTAGAGATAAAGGAGTGAAGGGATTAGGCAGCACTTCTGCTCAGGGTGGAGCTTAAAGCTGGACAGCCATCTGTCTCAGCTTGCATGATAAATTACACGGTCAAGCTACTAAAGTGGAAGACAGGTGTTCTCTATACAGGGGGACCTGACCCAGTTTGGGAGTGGACTTTTCTAAGGACGTGACTAAAGAAGAGACCTGAAGAGTCAGGAAGAAGTACAATATTGATGAACAAGGTTTCTCACTTGCCTAGGGCCTTTGCACTTGCGCTTTCCCCCCTGTGCTTGGAGGAGAGGGCAGTCCCACTTCTTGTCCTCTTCCCCCTCAATATTACCCTTACATGTGAGGTAGAACAGTGTTTTACAAACAGCAGGTAGCAATCCATGGCTTATAAAATTTATCTGATTTAAAAAAATACATATATATAGTAGAAAATATCAAGAGTACATTGTACAGGGCAAGAGTAAATATGAAATAAAATAAAACTTATTCATTTGTGTGTATGTACTTGGTCACAATATAAAGTGTATTTCTTACTATAGCTCATAGTCAGAAACTTAAAAATGCTTTTGTCGGCCGGTTGCGGTGGCTCATGCCTGTAATCCTAGCAGTCTGGGAGGCTGAGGCGGGCGGATTGCTCGAGGGCAGGAGTTCGAAACCAGCCTGAGCAAGAGTGAGACCCGTCTCTACTATAAATAGAAAGAAAGTAATTGGCCAACTAACATATATATAGAAAAAATCAGCTACGCATGGTGGCACATGCCTGTAATTTCAGCTACTCAGGAGACTGAGGCAGTAGGATTGCTTGAGCCCAGGAGTTTGAGGTTGCTGTGAACTAGGCTGACGCCACGGCACTCACTCTAGCCTGGGCAACAAAGCGAGACTCTGTCTCAAAACAAAAAACAAAAAACGCTTGTATCTAGGACAAATGGAAGGGAAATCACACTATTATCTTGACCTCCTGTACTATCATTGCATTTTCAATTATTTCCTTAATATCTGGAGAAAGTCAAAATAGTAGGAGTGTGGCTCAAGTTGAGAAAGGACCAGATTATTCAATGCCTTGTAGGCCTTTTTATGGATTTTGGGTTTTTTTCTAAGATAAATGGAAAAGGATTCAAGTGGTAGCTTGCCCTCTCTTCCTTCCTTTCCTTTTCCTTTTCTTTCTTTCCTTTCTTTCAACAGGGTCTCACTCTATTGCTCTAACTGGAGTGTAGTAACCTAATCATAGCTCACTGTACCCTTGAAGTCCTGGACTCAAGTGATCCTCCCACCTCAGCCTCCCAAGTAGCTGGGACTATGGGCATGCATTACCATGTTGGACTAGGTGCTTTTTTTGTTTGTTTACATTTGTTTATTTGTTTGCTTGTTTTGTAAAGACAGGTCTCTCTATGTTGAGCAGGCTGGTCTCAAACTCCTGGCCTCAAACAATCCTCCCCCCTCAGCCTCACAAAATACTGGGATTACAGACTTTAGCCACCATGCTCAGCCCAGCTATTTCATATTAAGCCACCATTTTGTTTTTAATCATGATTAAATATAAAAGGAATTTGGGGACTAGGATTGAACTACGCTATCTGGTAAATGCTTTATTTCTTTAATAAATATTTATTATCTATTGTTTTTCATATAAGTTTATAGTCTGTACTTTCATCTGTGAAATAGGTTTAATTATAAATACCTCATAGATACACTGTGAACATTAAATGAGTGTGTATATATTGTATATACTCATGTATATAGTATATACACACTCAACAGATGTTTTAGTGACCTTTTTTTTTAACTTCTGCCTCTTTAGGACCCCACTCAAAAGAGGATGCCTTGTTTTGATGATTATGTTAGTCATGCAATTCCCAGAATAAATAAAATGAACTATAGCTAACAACTTTTCTGTTGTTGGAAGGAAGGTAGCCACTTTCATTTTTTTTTTTTTTTAAACACCAGACTATTTCCATAGGAGAATATAATGTTGACATAGTTCTGAACTGGTGAAGTTATATTAGAATTTTTAAATAAATCAACATGGAATTCTTTCATCTTTCCTTTCCCTGCCCTCAAGTGTAATATTATTTGTCTGGCCTTACTGTTTCTTTGAGGGTAGAAAACATCAGTGTTACAAGTGGAGAAACATTTCCACTTATCTCTATTAATTCCCCTCCCCCTCTAGATTTCACCATCCAATCCTCAGTCCTTTGGAAAGCGGTTTCCAGCTGGAGGTCGATGTCCTGAGTCATCTCCTGAAGGCCCAGGCCCAGGTCTCCGAGTGGAAGTTCCTGCCGTCTCTGGTTAACTTACACAGTGCTCACACCAAGCTGCAGACCTGGGGCCAGATCTTTGAGAAGCAGCGGGAGACCAAGAAACATCTGTTTGGAGGGCAGTCTCAGAAGGCCGTGCAGCCCCCACACCTTTTCCTTTGGCTGATGAAACTCAAAAACATGCTCCTTGCCAAATTTAGCTTTTACTTTCACGAGGCACTGAGCCGACAGACGACTGCTTCAGAAATGAAAACGTTGACTGCAAAAGCTAACCCGGACCTTTTTGGAAAGATTTCCAGCTTCATCAGGAAATACGACGCTGCCAATGTGTCCTTAATTTTTGACAACCGAGGTTCTGAGAGCTTTCAAGGTCATGGCTATCACCACCCACATTCCTACAGAGAGGCCCCTAAGGGCGTGGACCAGTATCCAGCCGTGGTATCTCTGCCCAGCGACAGGCCTGTCATGCACTGGCCCAATGTCATCATGATCATGACGGACCGCACTTCTGACCTGAACAGCTTGGAGAAAGTGGTCCACTTCTATGATGACAAAGTGCAGAGCACCTACTTCCTCACCCGCCCAGAACCCCACTTTACCATTGTTGTCATTTTTGAGTCAAAGAAATCTGAGAGAGACTCCCACTTTATTTCCTTCCTCAATGAGCTCTCACTTGCCCTTAAGAACCCCAAAGTGTTTGCAAGTCTGAAACCTGGATCCAAAGGTTAGCAGGTGATTTGGGTGAAAGATTTTGAAGACTAGAAACTTCTTAATCGCTCTAATGATTGACAGTCGCCTGTGATTGGAGTTTATATCTACTCGTTCTTCTTTCAGAGCTAGATTAAAGACAAATCCTCCCGAATCGTGTTACACACTTTATAAGCAATTAAAGCCAATTGAATGAAGTATCCAAAGAGTAATCTAGGAAGTGGTCATGGGCTACCATGTATCTCCATGGCATAGTAAAAGAGTTTCAGTGTTTTCTCCTATTTTCCTGTATTTCATGTAGATTGAGTATTTATTGGCCCTTGATTTTTCTTTCCAGATGTTTTTTTATTGTTCTAAACATTGTGTTCTAATGCAATTCCAAACACCCTCTCTCTTCTCCTTCCTGGAAGAGTAATTGGGATAAGTTATTAAATGGCTTTTTTAGAATTAAGGACTGTATGTTTTCTATCTCATAAATTAACAAGGTAACATGAAATTATTTGTTTTATGATTCTGACCTACAAATTAATATTTTTGATGCCAAAATTAGGATCATGGTGAGAAATTTCTGTCAGTTACTGATATTGAAGGTATATCAGATTGATAGCACAACATTAGGTTTTAACAGTTCAGAAGATCCTTGTGGCAACTTTAATAGCTGTGGGTTCTTGTGGGGTGATCTACACACCTAACTGCATTTGATTTCACCTTTATAAAGTTTGAATTTTTCACTCTGTTTTACAAAGTCAGCATAAGCCATCATGTGGGGTTTCTTCATTCTTCAGCGTATTATCTGCTTGGCTTTGTGTTTATCACTTTTCTGCTGAAATGTATGTTCACGTTTGGCTCCACTCCTTGGCTATTTTTGGGCTGAAAAGCATGCATTCTTGGTTTTTCAGCCACTTTTAGATACTCATGTAATGTAGCCTACTTTTATAAAATCAAAATGAAGGTCTTGGTACCTTGTACTTGTTAAAAATCAAGTGTGCATTCAAAAGATCTCTTCATTGTTGAGTAATCAACTCAGTACTTAAGCACCTCTGAACTCGGGTTTCCTGCCTGCCTCCTACAAATTATGTTTAGAAGCAGCGCCACATCTTAGCACATGCTGCCTGATCCCTTTCCTTCAGTAGGTATTCATGGGGAAGTAGATGGATCGGTGAAGGCATAATGGGCTGTGGAGACCTTCACTTCTAGGTTATTGATTCAGAATAAAAAGAAGCCACAAAGAGTAATTGAGTTGTTACTACTTGATAGTTCCTTCAAAGCTTGTGTAAGATGTAACGGTCAGATCAGTCTTGTTGCTTGTGATTGTATGGAGCCACTGTTGTCCTGGGCATTCATAGCAGGCATGCCACCAGCAACATCGGCAGAGAACAGAGAGCCCCTCTAAGTCCACATAGGAAGCCTGCCCGCCTATTGTGGACTGCCTGGTATAGGAACCCACTGGCCTGTTTTCTGGGGAAAACATGTTTTTCCTTTCTTTTCTTTTCTTTCTTTCTTTTTTTTTTTTTTTTTTAATAAAGGTCATATGATTTGCAAAAAGCCAGTTTGCTTTAAATAGAAAGTAGTGATTTACCTCTGCATTTTATTCATTCAGTTTCTGTAAAAATCTGAACAGATTTTACAACATTGACCTTACATAAAAAATTGAAAACCCTTGGAACAAAACAGTCAAATCATTTTTCCTTCCTTTTGTGTTTTGTCAAGAAACTGAAAAATATTCTTTGGTGTGCATGTATTTTTTTTTCCTTAGATTAAACCACCATTAGCCTTAATGATACAGTCATATACCTAAAAGAATATACACTTTAGTGGAACACGGAGAGAGGTGCAAATAAAGCATGTATATAATATTTAAATAACCCATTCTCGCCCAGAGCATATTTGAATTGTATATTTATTTTTAAACATATTTTTAAAAATAAACAAAAAGAATTTATAAAGAATGGAAGGCAGATGTGAACATTAAGAAAACCTGAGACAACATAAATTCATAAATCACTCTGCAACTGTCATAGACGGTACTGTGAAGCTTTTGAAGATTCAATATTGATACTTTAATCATTTCCTTAGCTCTTCAGTAAAGTTTTCTAATTATAAAAAAAAACATATTTTGGTTCAAGCCAAGAAACAAAGTCATTTTTACTCTAAGATTTATCCTCTAAATATAGTAATGAGATGATCTGTAAAGTCTGTTTCACTAATTAAAAAAGTAAATCTTGCTATGACATTCTGCTATGACTAAAAAAAAAAAGAAAAAAAAACAAAAAAGTAAATCTGCATATTTTCTGCAGACTGCTTACTTTGAATCTGCTTCTAAAACCACAACTTGATAAATTTTTATCGGTAAGTGGGAATATGGTCAATGCTGAGTTTGCCAAGGAGTTGGTCAAGGAGTGTTTCATTTTAGGATGCTGTTTGGACACTAAATGTTTATAACTTTGTCCTCTATTGGGTCCAACCTGCTATCTGACTATGTCATTTTAGGGAGAGTGTGAAAATAAAGTTCAGTTCTTAACTGAGGAGCCAATACCCTTTATATAATTGCTTTGTACATTTGGACATATTGGGGAAAACTTACTTTCAAGAAAGAAAATAGGCTGGGCGCGGTGACTCAGGCCTGTAATCCTAGCACTCTGGGAGGCTGAGGTGGATGGATCGCTTGAGCTCAGGAGTTCGAGACCAACCTGAGCAAGAGCCAGACCCCATCTCTACCAAAAATAGAAAAAATTATCCGGGCTTGGTGGCGCATGCCTGTAGTCCCAGCTACTGGGGAGGCTGAGGCAGTAGGATTGCTTGAGCCCAGGAGTTTGAGGTTGCTGTGAGCTAGGCTGACCCCACAGCACTCTAGCCCAGGCAACAGAGTCTCAAAACAAAAAAAGAAAAAAAAAAAAGAAAGAAAGAAAATAGTTGGTATGTCCCTGTACTCCCAGTGAATTCTCTCAGGTGATCTTTAAAATATGTCCACCCTTTCAGGCTAGCCACAGACTGGTAGTTTTGTTTCTTTGGTAAGTCAGCCCGTAAACTCAACTTCTTTGTAAAATGGGGATAAGGAAATGTGAGCTGCTTTTTCCAAAGGATGGAACAAGATCATGTGTGTAAAAAGAGGCTTTGAAAACCATCTGGGGTTTGAAAGCTGTATAAATAAAAGATTGACCGCTCTCCCCGTAAACTTAGCACCTCTCCTGTTCTTTTCTTTCTCTTCAAATCTGTGGCAAACCTGATTATACCTGCAGTCCCCAACCCCTGGGCCATGGACTGGCATTAGTCCTTGGCCTGTTAGGGACGGGGCTGCAGAATTCTGCCACCCCTCCCTCACCCCATCCTTGGAAAATTGTCTTCCATAAAACTGTTCCCTGGTGCTAAAAAGATTGGGGACCGCTGGATTATATCATCAGAGTTTACAAAATGGTGATATTCTAATTATTAATATGTTATTCACCTTTTCATTTATTGGCCAGACTACGTATACAAAGAGAAACTTCACCCCCAACTATGTAGTTACCCTAAAGTACAGTTCATATAGAAATAGCAGGATAAATCCTTGGATTAATCCCCGATTCCTTTGGTTTTTTTAAATTTTATTTACCAGTTCTTAAAATAATGAGTTGGTTCCTTAGCATCTTCCAGAGACACTGGGGAGTTTTAAAAGAAATGAGAATAAACTTATAAGAATTTCTGCCTCTTACATTTAACCCCGAATTTGACACAGAGCAGCCATTTTTCTCTTTATCATAGATACTCTTTTGTAAATATCATCACCTTTCCTTATTTCTTCCTCATGGCTAATTTCCTTTCTTAATTACTGTTGACTGTTTCCCCCACCATTTTTCCGGTTTCTTCTCCCTCCATCCATCTTTCTCTCTCTTCCTCCTTCCTTCTTCCTTAAGTCCCTTCCTTCCTCCTCCTCTTCTTCCTTTCCCCTCTTCCTTAATTTCTGATATCTTCCTGACACATTCCTGTTTGGTCACTTTTTTTCTCCATGCCTCAGGGATCCAGGACACACCTCAGTTGTCTCTGACCCAGTTTCGGGAAGTATTCATTTTGATTGTTTTAAAGCTAGTTCGTCTTTTCCAGGCAGAAAGGAAGGGATACATACAGGGGGAAAGTTCAGCGTTGACACTAATGGGTGACTGCAATTATGCCTAGCCACTTCGTGAACACACAGGACCTTTAGCCAACTAGAACAAGCACTGCTCTATGTATAATCTTATGGTGAGCTATGATTGACCACTGTACTCCAGCCTGAGTGACAGGGCAAGACCCTGTGTCTAAAATAAAGAATTATTTGGCAGAAAAAGCTACTCAAAACTAAAATCTTTTCAAGTGTATTTTTACTGTGTAAAATAAATATATAACTTTTGTTAATATTATGTAAAAAATAATTTTTAGTCTGCTCTAATTAGTGTATAAAAGCATCAAATTAGCTTCTGGTATTTTTTCTTTAAGTACAAATTTAAGAAGATAGATTTTGTCTTTTTTCTAAGTGGGAAAGAAAAAACATGCCATGTGATTCCCCACGAAAGCCCTGCAGGTAGAGTTTAACTTAGCAATTCCCACTCTACTTCTCCACCAGCTTCCTGTTACCGATGCAATTATTGCATGGCCTTTTGCCTGAATTATTCTAAGCTGCTTCTCCGGAGGAAATGAGTCAGAAGAAATAGACTTGATGTGCACTTCTGCCTTTGGAGACTTCTCTTGATATCGTGTAAATTCATCAGACTTCATTAATGCAAGTATTTTGACTTGTCTGCATATTTTTTTCAATCCGCTTTTGGTAATAAGGTCTGTTTCTGGGATACTTTAAATTAAAAACCATATGGTCTGTGCAAGATACCAGTGCTAGAAAATGGAGAGAGGCAAATGAGTTCCCCATTCTGTACCTGCTGTGCCTGGTGTCAGAGTCTGAGGGGAGGGTTCTGACTGATGATATAACTCAGGGAAGGTCATGAAAGGCAACTGCATTGGTGTGCATTCTGAATGAGGCACTCAGACATGCAGTGGCAGCGCAGGAAATGTTGGATGGCACTTGGCATTGATCTAGGAGAGGAAGATAATCATTGGGACTTTTGCTAACCTTACCCCTAGGGGGGTGAATTCTGCTTTTGCTGGTCCTAAAAACTGCAGAGTAATTCTAGAATCCAATTAAATTTGCAAATCTGATGCCTGATTTCATCTGAGATTTATAATGGCTCAGCTGATTGACCTTCTAGGTTAGGTTAGATTGATTTCACTTTTAGTGTGACAACATGTAGCGGTGCAGGACACCCCTAACCCCACAAGGCCATCCTGATGTCAGTCACTCCAGACAAGGCCAGTGTTAGAGCAGTCCCCAATGCAGAAGCAGATAGAGGATATGAATTACTTCTTTCTAATATTCAACATTTATTCATTTAACAACTATTAAACATTGAGTATGCCAAGGCTAGTCATACAACAGCAAAAACCAACATGGTGCCTGCATGGTTGGTGCTTATAGTGAGGTGAGCTGGCTCCCACCACCCCAGTGGTCAGGAGCTGAGAGGGCAGTAACCAATAAGGCAACGGATAGTCTTCAAGCTTGTTTTATTTGCATACCTCCCTACAAGTTTTGGAAAATCATAATACTCTGATGGATTTTTAAAAAAGATATCTAAAAATCATTATTTATGTTTACAAAGCCTTAAAAGATACATTTTATGTATTGGAAATATTGCCATTTAAGATAAAAATGTTAATTGCTCTTTTAAATATATCCAGTGAAATTTTGGTATAATAGATATTTGATAGCTACCATTTTCTATATTTAAAAATACCTTAACCAGTTTTGTAACAGTTGGAAATATTGTATGACTCCTTTTGCTCCCTGAACTCCATTCTATTACTTCCACAGAATTTTATCCTAACATGAATTTGTTATGTTCTTTGTTTTATTTTTTGTTTGCTTAAAAGTCTTATTGGTCACCCTATTAAATACTTCTCAGTATATTATATATATAAATGTGCTTTGTGTTACCATAGGCTCTAAGAGTTTAATGACCAAATGACACATATATTCGAACTTTTAATAAATGGTAAACATAAAAAGTTACATTTAATTTGAAATAATTTTTTGGAAATAATTTTTCAATGAAATGAATAAGTATAGTATTTATAATGACTTGGGTAAAGAAATTGCCTAAATGTTCCTTTGTTTGTTGGACAGAGATTTTTTTACACCCTGTAGTAATACCCCATAGTAAGAACTATGAAAGGTTTGCCATTTTACCCTACTTTCTGGCTAACAAATTAGCCTGCCATGGTTTCATAGATGCTAGCAGAAGACATGAGACAGTTATTACAGTAATACCAGCAGCTGGGATATTCACCACTTTTGCCTCGATTTCCTAAGCTCCAAGTCCCACATTGGGCTTTGAGGCCCAATGTGGAGGGGCTCAGATGGATACCTGCTCACATGCAGCTCAGGAGAAGAATTCTGACCTTAGGAAACTCAAATTTTTTATAATGGTTCATAAGCTCCATTTGCTCCAGAGGGAGATGTTATTCTGGACAGTAAGTATATTGGTTTCCTAGAGCCCATAACAAAGTACCTCAAATTGGGTGGCTTAAAACAACAGAAATGTATTTGTCTCTCAGTTCTGCAGGCTTGAAGTCTGAAATTAAGGTGTTGCAAGGGCCATCTTTTCTCTGAAACCTGTAAAGGAATCTTTCTTTGCCTTTTCTTAGCTTTAGGTAGTTTGCTTGTAATCTTTGGTTTTCCCTATTTTAATCTCTGCCTTCATCATCACATGGCATTCTCTCCATGTCTCTGTCTTCCCAAAGCTGTCTTTCTGTAAGGACACCAGTTATATTGGGCTAGGGACCCACCCTAGTCCACGACGACCTCATCTTAACATTACATCTGCAGCAAACCTATTTCTAAATAAAGTAACATTCTGAGATACTGGTGGTTTTGACTTCAACATATCTTTTACGGGGTTGGAGGGGAGCAATTCAACCCATAACGGTTAACCTGTCTGCTCTTTGCACTAGAGACACCATCTGTAGAGGGAATACACTGTCTTCCAAAGGATGCTCAGTATATAAAATTCTTGAATGATAGTCCGGAACTAAGGGCAGTTAGTGCCTCACTCTCAAGACCTGCAGAACCTGAAAAACCCATGGAAAATTGTCTCCTAATACACTATGGTAAACATATGGGTGAGAGGTGAGTTTGTTTGTTTTGGGGTGGAGAAGGGCAGTTATTAAAGGAGAAGTTAGGAAAAAGAAGCTTAGCCTATTGCAGGCACCTTCACAGAGTGATTCATTTGGGGAAAGAGTTCATATAGAAGTTGAGGAATCTAAAATTGATTTTCTTAAAAAGATCCTAATTCTCATATCTCATGAAAAATACGCACATATCCCAGGTAGTAGGATCCACATTTGAGGTTCACTATTTTAAGGGACTTGGAGGTGTACCTGCACTGCTGGTCTCTGGGAGTTGCCACGTCAAGTACGGTGTTGACATATTGATGTTGTGATGTTCCCTTCTATTTTTCTGAACTTTCAGAGGAGTCTTTCCTAAAAGTTGTGGTTGGGCTGAGCAATGTCATCAGAGAATTAAAAGAAAGGTCTCTGCCTTCTTCTAGCGGCAGACAGTAGTAGCAGGAGGGAGGTTGAGTCCAGGAGGTGACTTGTAGCAGAGGCACTGGCAGCCTAAACACAGGAAGCATGGACTGGTTTGACTGTGGGGTCCCTGGTTTCCAGAAATAGTGGAGAAAATAATTTTTCAAGAGCCAGAAAGTCCTGCAATTAAGCAGGATGGGGAGTACAAGTTTTCTTAGTGGGTAATAATAAATAAATGTGACCTAATTTTACACTCTCATTGGCAAGGTCTGGACATAAACTTTTTCACCAAATTATATGTGGCTAAATTGATGTGGAATCATACAGTTCCACAGTAAACCATTTGCAGAGACAGTGACTAATTAGAATAATTTTTCAACTATGTTTTTTAATAACAAGACCAGTTTTTGTGAAATATATTTGTAACCATGTGGTCTACCAAGTACAGTTGTCCTTGGAAACCTTGAGAAAGTGCTTCCTCTGGTATATTTTAAATGTTATTTTTAGTTTTAAAACCAGCCCAAATTTCCAGGAGAAAAATGTTTCATCTTATCAAAGTTGAACCCCTGCAGTCCTGCTTGATTTTAAAAGGATGGATGTTACTGAGGAAAGGCAGAGAAGTTTCTTGTCTATGTCCTCAGGGAATTAACTTCCAACAAAGAGGGACCTATAGCAGCTGGAGATATCTAGCTTCAAAAAAAGTGGTACAAATTTGTCAGACTTTACCTACAAGTGACAATTGTAACAATATTGAAAAAATGTCAACCACTTAAGCAGCTGGTAAGAAAATTCTTCTTAGGAAAATTATTAAATGTTTGGAAGAAATACTTTGAGAAGATACTTAGAGTAGAATTGGTGTGGTCACCTGCAGGACTTTTCGTTTTGCTTCCCTGGAGGAAGAATGGGGTGGGGACTGAGGGTTGGGGTGGGGAGGAGGAAGGATTGCTGGATATGATAGAGGGTGGAGCCCAGAGGATGGGCCCTACCAGGTAGAATTAAATAGACCCTTAGGTGCACCACTGCAAAGCAGGAGAAAAATACCTTAAGGGGGGAGGTCTTTCAGGGTGTTAGTTAGTTGTGAGGTTGTGATGTAAACCTCTCCTGTCTCCCTTGTGGAGAAACCTTTAGTAACAGTAAGGACAGTTGACATCTATGTTAGTGTGGGCATTCTTTCCTTTCTTCCTCCTTCTTCTGTTCCTTAAGTTGTAGGAGGAAAGGGACAGGAAGGTGTCCTTTTATCAATCAACAAAGAAGTCTTTAATTGCATGACCTGCTCAGGGCTTGCTGAGCCATCAGATAGTGATGGTGACTTCCATTTAGCATCCACGCGTACTGACTAAATACAAAGGCAATAATGGAAGGAAAGGCCAAACATGATCAGTCTTCTACAGGTTAATGTGAAGGTAAGGTAAAGGTAAGCCAACGGTAAGGTGCTTTGTTGCATTTAAAAAAAAAAAAGGAAAAGCAAATAGAGGTAGAAGTAAGTACAACTCTTTTCCTTTCAGCTCTTTGTTCGTGCCAGTATGAGGTCGTGTAAGGTAGTTGTGGGTTCAGATGTTTCTTAAAGAGGAGAGGAAGAAAAGTAGTAAAACAACAACAACAAAAGCAGGGAAGGAGGAAGTGAACAGGGGCGTAGTGAGGAGAGCTGCTATGGCACTAGGAGGTAAAAGCTCTCTCTGCTGTTGTGCTCAGTGCCACCGGCTTATGAACTGAGTGTACAGGACGCTGTCATTGCAGCGCTTTGCGGTTCAGTGAGAGCAAGAAAGTCCTCACTGGGGGAACCTGGTCTCCTCTCCCTGCCTTCTCGGGGCACGTGAGAACCCATTCGGTTCCAGCTCTCAGCTTCCTCAGCCACCATCTCTGGCCCTATGTTTGTTTATTAAGCTTACCATGAAAGCTACTTTGCACACACAACCTAACAAAGGTAATTACTTTTAATGAAACGACAACAAGAATAACAACCACCATTTTCAAGGCTATTATTTCCCTATTCTATCCTGTGGATGCAATTTTTAAGTTTTATAATCTGTCAGCCTCCTCTGTGTGTTCGTTATCACTTCCCAGACATCACATTAGAAGCATCCTTTGTCTTAATTATCTGAAGCTTACAAATATCCGGTGAGCATCCACAACGAACTGTGTTAGTCAACGCGGAAGTTTCCTAATAACATGGCTGACAGTTTGGTATTGTTTTATTTTGGTTTTGGAGCTAGTAGGTTTCTGTTGAACTTTTTTGGACCTCTTGGGGTCTGAGCTCTCTAGAGAGGCTCTCTGTCAAACACGCAGCATGATTGCAAAATCCTTCCTTTGGCTGGGAATGAGAAAAATGAGAACTGGCCAGTAGAGGGCAACACTAAAGCAGAACATAGCTCCTCAGCTGTGGCTTCCTTTCCATCCCAGCGCTGATATTGGTGCTGCTTGGCGTCTTTGGACAGTGGAAAGCTGAGAAGTGCGGGAGTTGCAAAAATGACCATTTTTAGTGTTTAAAGTTGAGGCTTTGATGACTGTTCTTGCAGAGGCAGGTATTCAGGCAAGAATGGGCTCAAGTGATGAGTCGGAAACTGTACTGTCATTTCCAGTGAATTTTAACCGAAACATTCCAAACTCCTTCCTCATCTGGTGACTGTGCAGAGAGCTTCTGCTGACTCAGAGCCCCTCACACATGACTGTGATCTCGCTGCTGCGTTGTTCCTGAGACATGCTTTGTTTGTTCTGAGACGCATGCTCCCGCCCCAAGTTTTCAGACAAGAGGGCTTCCTTGCTTGGAGTGCTTAGAAGGATGAATAAAGAGTGTTAACATTTTTGTGAGGGAAAAGGGAGTCTCGTACCCATGGAGTTGGATTGAAAGTACAAACGTTTCCCCCACACATCCCTGAACACAAACAGAATTTGCCTTTATAATTTCAGGTGTTCATGGAGCCCTCTGTGAGTCCATGGGCCTCCAGGGCACAATTCCCTGTTGGGAAAAATCTCCTGCTGAAGTCCAGATAAGCTGTTCAAGAAAGGCAGTAAGTCTTGGAGGTTACACTGTGCCATGCCAAAAAGATAGTAGCTGCTGCATGTTTCCACCTGGGCGTTTCCACCGCAGGCAACTCAGCACTTGCCTTCCCCAAACTCGCTCCACTTGGCATCCTCAATTTTTTCTTGGTATGACTGTCGCTCCAGCGGCGCTCCCTGCAAACTCTGGAGTGGTCTTTGATTCTTCTGTGTTACTCAGTGTTGAATCTTCTCGGCGCTCCTGTAGTCAACCCTTTCTTTCTGTTTTCACCGTCACCTTCTTTCTTCACTTCTGGCTCTCAGACCAGCCTGGATTAGAAATCTAGTCTCTGACATAGTCTTTCCCCTGCAGTGTCATTGTATTCCAGTCCATCCTTCTTACCTTTACCAGGTAATTCTTCAGAACCCCTGAGATGGTTGTGTCTCTTCTGCTCTGCTCCTGCTCCTGCTTTTAAAAAAAGTCCTGATTAAGTAGCTTCCCAGAGTCTACTGGAAAATGTTCAATTTTTTTTATTTTTTGAGACATGGTTTTCCTCTGTCTCCCAGGCTAGAATAGAGTGCAGTGGTGTCATCATAGCTTACTGCAACCTCAAACTCCTGGGCTCAAGCGATTCTCCTGCCTCAGCCTCCCAAAATGCTAGGATTAAAGGTGTGTGCCACCACAACTGGCCTAAAAGTTCAATTCTGATGGTCATATTCAGCCTTTTGTCTTTTTCCCTTCCACTGTTCCCTTACTTTCACTCATGTCTCAGTCAAAATAGAATTCTTAGCCTGCCCTGTATTTTTTTCACCTTTGTTCAGAATTTTCTTTGCCTGAAACCCTTCTAGCATAGGGATTCTTAACATATTTGGCATGATAGGATCTCTTTGCAGTCTGTGAAGCCTATGGACACTTTCTCAGAATGTTTTTTTTTCTTTTCATACTTTATCCTTTTTCTCTTTTTTTTTTCTTTTTTTCACTGAGCATGCTGCTTGATATCAGAATGTTTTTAATGCATAAAATGATACATACAGAATTACAAAAGAAACCAATTATGTTGAAAGACAGTTATAAACATATTTTAAAATCTATAATGTTCTTTACTAATACATTTAATACCAAGATACAGCATTGATCTCATAATTATCACAGTAGTTTATGACCTACGTCTGCAGTGGAAGGAAATGCTTAATTACACTTAGATGTTAGGCAAAATAAAGATACATTTTTTCCCCCATATAGACCCCCAGGCTAAGAACCTTAAATCTAGATCATCGATTCTCCAACTAGAGTATGAATCAAAATCACCTGGATGCTAAAGACAGAATGTTAAGACTAATTTCTGATTTAGTAGGTCAAGGGTAGGTCCTAGATTTTGCATTTCTAACACGTTCCAAAGTGTTGCTGATGCTGTAGGTCCAGGGATTGCATTTTGAAATCTTCTGATCTAGAATAGATCATCTCTTGCCATCTTTACCTACCAAAATCCTATATCTCCTGAAAAGACCCAGGAAAAAGCCAGCTTCTGTATTAAGCTTTCCCTTATTACTCCTATTGGGAGAGTGACCTTTACCTTTCTGGTTTGTATCATGGTCACTTGGGTACAACGCGGCTGGCCCCCACTTGGGCTTCTATTCGTGTTACTGGAAATGCTATGATATTTCAGATCTCCATGAAGGAATTAATGTCTTCTCTCACTCATTAGTCTGTTAGCTCTTCCAGGGTATGAAACATATTTTATAATTTGTGAAAGAAAGGAGGGACAA